ATGATTAAAGTGACCAAATGAGTGCTAACATTATTGCCACTGCCTCTTATTCTTACTAATGTGCAATTGTTACCAAATAATCAGAGTGCATTTTACGCCTTCCTGCACAGAGACAAAACAAAAGATGAATAACCATTCTTCCTAGTTTTATTGAAAACGGTGCGCTTGTGAATACCGTATTAAGCAAATTTCTGCTTCTTATTTTGAAGTTGATTATTTGTATCCAAAGTCAAATTTGGAAGTTTCATTAAAGGTGAGATTTTCACATGGTATAATTTACAAAAGTCCTAAACCTATAAAATTTGCTAACATAAGGCATACTCGATGTGCATATTTATCCATGCAATTTTTTTAGCATGCCAAGGGAAGATACTGGTATATATGAATTCAATTAACCTCAGTGAATAATTCTATGATGGGGTTAAAACTTTTTTAAAGGGCAGAGTTGTAGTGTTTTTATGGTGGTGCAAAAACAGAAAAGGGGGTGAATTTAACTATTTAAAAATAGATATGATTTCCCATCTTCTACAACACATATTTATTCAACTGTTATTTTGAACTAACGCACTCCAAATATGGTAATTCCGTGAAGAACTTTGGTTTATCGTTCTACTAGCAAAAGACTTTAATTAACTCTGATGCTTGCTTTCACTTAAGAGAAGAAGGGAAGCATTCTTCTATAATTCCATAATGAAATTGATTTGTCAAAAAATTGGGTATTTTGGCTAAAAGCTATCATCTGTCATGAGTCTTAAGGACAAAGTATTCATTCGTTCATCTTACAGTTTAGAAATATCTTGGCATCCTTGAAATAGTTTCTATTTGAATTTTGCCCTGTCTTTGTCGGCCAAAAGCAGATCCAGGTGGGAATCTATCCCAAATATATGAAAATGCGAATGCGATATGCACAAGATGCCTCCAGTTTTAACCTTTTGCTGGGGCATAGCTAAAGAGACCATATAGTTCATTTAAAGAGACGTGATACCGAGTACTTTAACTTTACTATTTTGAATAAACATAAAATGGCTAAATTGCAGTAATGCCTTTTCTTTACATCCTGCAAAAATAATTTTTAAGCGCCTGAGGTCATCTCATCTGGGCAGAATTCGGCTGCATCTGATCTATGGAGCCTAGGTGTACTTGCCCATCTCCTGTAAGTAGTATTATTTTAACTATATTTTTATAAATCAGAATTGCAAGATTTCTACTATTACTGTAACTTGCTTATCCAATATGTAAACTGCTAGTTGACTTTTATGTAGCCACTTCAAGTAAGCCAGCTTATCGAGATTATTTCAAGCTATCACTTGTAAAGTACGAAAGTAAGTTCCTTGCTGAGTTAGATCAGGTAGGAAGATTAAAACTGGCATAGGTGAGGCAGAGTTTTCATGCTGGATGAGGATGTGAGCTAATGTCGACTGATAAAGAGTTAATTTTATGAAACCTGCTTTCCTAACTAAATATTTTAGCATATAAAGTGGAAATAAAGGAGATAAAAAAACTAAAGATATATATATATATATATGAATAAGAATTTCTGGAATTTTATCAATTTGTGCCAGCACGAATGAACATTTGTACCGAGCATAGGAAAATACGGCTGCCCGGAATGGATGAAATCAACAAGAGCATCTTTGAATTCACGGAAAGAAATAGTATGATATAATCTAAAAATGAGGCTACTTAAGGAAGTTTATAAATGCCCTGCTTCATAAAATCTCATTTGGATGCGATACTTTCTCAAATAAAAATTTAAACTTTTACCCTCGATAATTGTTCTTGGTTTTGAATTTAACTTGTAAACTTTAAACTTAAGTTTTGACGATAGAAGACCAAGATGGTGTGGCCTCTGGTGTGGTCGTAGTCTCCCTTCGATTTATAGAATTGGGTTGACCTCTTTGTCGCAAATTGGTCTTGTTGTCAGATCGACTTAGTAGAACGCACCTAGTCCGAAGTCGTCTGCCATAGTAGTTGTCATGATTCCCAGCATCAGAAAGTAGATTTAGTACATTCTCAAACGTTATGACATTTAGCTATGACTTAGTCAGCTATCCTTCACTGATGATGCCGACTATGCTGCCGGCGAGACGCTTGAGAATGTACCAAGTCCACTGTCAGATGCTGGGAATCATGACAACTACTATGGCAGACGAATTCGGACTAGGTGAGTTCTACTAAGTTACCCTGACAACAAGACCAAGTTGCGACAACGAGGTCAACCCATTACTTAGATTAATTTGATTAAATTACCATGGCCAAAGTTTTATTTATTTGCATTTCCTCGAGCTATTGAACACGGAGTATACTCTATCAGCAGATAACTGGACATAACTTTTCTCATGCCTTAACATCATACTACTTGGCCTAAATTTCGAAGGGCTAATTTGCAATTTTTTACCTTTAATGATACACTTCCTCAGTAAACTGTCCTTATAGACACTTAATCCCCTTATTCTCATTCTTACTTTCACTCTGGTTCCTATACTATATTTTCACTTTATTGCACTTTTCGTAGCTACGGCTTTTTAGTACAATACAAGGCATGTATCGTATTTGTAGTGATAACTTTAATAGCACTCCTATTCAAGGATTGATATTTACCAGAAATTAACAATTTATAATTATGTGACCTGCCTATTCTATGGAAACCCTCTTTTTTAAATTCCCCCCCGGCCTTCTTTTAGCTTGACAGGCGAGTGCTCCAAACCGGCCTCTGCCCTCACTTCTCCGACCTTGGACGAACCCACAGGGACCTTGTCAGCAAGCACCGCCATAAGCAGCAATATTGCAGAACGAAATAGCAGACAGGCCTCATGTGCCAATTACGCTAAAGTAACTGGCTTCTCAAAAATGATGAAAAAGTTCATCTTCAGCTGCCTCCAACTTATGCCAAAGTAACAGCGTCGGTTGTATCCTCTTAGCTCCTTTTTATTTTTCACTTGATCATAATTTCAATTTCTAACAATTTAATTAAGTAAGCCATCTAGACAGCTGCCAATCTCTCATATCACTAACTCATTTTTAATGAAGCCCCGATAATTTGTTTGTTGTCTTTAAAGGCCTTTCATTTATCAGTTCCGTGATTCCTCACGCCAGTATAAGGTTCAGGAGGGATTATTAAATTTCGATACTTCATTAAGGGAAGTGAAATGTATATAAATAAAGATATGAACCTTGTTCTACGAGTACCTACTAAAAGTCTCATGTATCTACTGTTTGAAAGCCCTAAGTTTGGATTAAAAATGATATTGCTGTTTGTGAAAAGTCTGGACAATTGAGTAACGATTGTGAATGTCTTCATTGCTTTTTAACTTTTTATTTTTCGAATTAAGTATTGTTTTCGTGAATCATATCATATGGCAATAAATTTCATTTAACCAATTATTAGGCCTTAAAACTTGCAGTAGAATTGATATAAGGACTCGAGAAGCCTTGAGTAAGAGAGGAACTGATGCTTATGTTTATCATAATGATATGAGAAGAGGTCGTCATGGTGCCAATGAATTTCATACTCTCTTAAAAGACCTCGTCCAGGCTAAACGTCACTCACCCTCTCTCCTTTGTCTCAGCAGTACCACTAATTAGGGTATAAACCACGTATCAAGTATTAAACAAAGTATCATAATACCATTACTGACCCACTGGTATTCAAGCCGTATTTAGGGCAAATTTCCGCCTCAAGAGCAAGCCTCAGTTCCATATCCACTTGAGGTTGCTGATGAGATCAAGACTAGATGAAGATTGCCCTTAAGCCTGGATAAGAAGGTCTCTTTAGAAGTTTGCTTGAGTGAAATTCAACTCAAAAATTAGGCCTCCCTCTCAATAAATTTTGAGAGACTCAACTATCTGTCCTTTTATATGGTAAAGCGAGATAAGCTGGATTAGGTTCTAATAGGCTTTTATAGCCTGAACGCCAGTGCAACTCATCTTCGAAAAAAGTTGTCTTAAATATTGAGCAATCTCTACGGGCTTTTTGTATTGAAAAGATAATGCAGAGCTACTATTATATTTTATTATATTTTTAAAATGATTATTCGTTCATTTTCATCTCTTTGAATCTCAACTCTCTATAATTCACTTTTTAGTAAACGAGGTACTCTTGACTTCTGGCTTGACACAAGGCTCTTCAGTCTAAACAAGGACTATGTTCAGCAGTTGTCTACCAATGTTATCTCTGCCACTCCTCTTCGCCAGTATCTGGCTGATAATCCCCCGGCAAGTTGGTCCCTAGGAGAGGGGAAGGATGACATCCATCAGCTCGCCTTTCCTTGAGGAATTCAATCTCTTTTTTAGCAAAACATAAAACCTGCACCCATCCAACCCTTGGCGGTTGTGATTACTTTCTGCTCCCCTTTATTCCAGGCTTACCACTCTTAAAACGGCTACGACATGAAATGCTTTATCCCTCATTTTCACCCTGAAAAACAAGGGTAGTTCGTGAATGGATCCGGAGGAGGGAGATTTTACCACATTTCTTAACACTTTCGGTCTCCATGTATATTCCTTATGGGAAGCATTTAGAGAGAAGAGAGCATAATTGCTACCATAGAGGTTGCTGAAACTTCTTCTGTCCATGAATATCCTCTTCTCCCCTGTTCTGCATTTGTGTAATTGAATTTCGAAGGTGTAAGACGTTTTTCTGCAAGCAGAAATAGAATTGACGTCTTAAAGCTTATTAATACAGTACCTCGACTTTTTCGTGTATGAATCTTTCCAATAATCACGTCAGTCGCTCGCTTCCCCTATTTTAGTTTTCTTTGCACAATGCGTTCCTATAACTGGCTCCTCGTTAACTCGAGTTTGGGA